ACCCCCTATTGGGGATGGAGCCCGAAATGTGGGCCTGTGGCCTTGACCGGAATCGAACCCAGAATCAAATCCGGGACCTTTTAGTGCACAGGCTGACTCTCCATCCACTGAGCCAAACCAGCTAGGGTCAGAGTTACTTTTGAAAGAGTATAATATAAAGATTAACGATGTTTGGAAACAAACACCGTGGCAAAGAGACAAAGCACGGATTTTCTGTTTACTTGGCAGCATCCAGATGACAGGATCCAGCGGGTCCCAGGCCTGCACGTGGCCAGGGACAACAGCATAGGTGCTCGCTGAATGCGTGCCTCAGGGCCCAGCAGGATCTGCGCGGAGGCGGATTCTGAGCTCTCTAGGAGTGGCCGATTACGATTACGATTACGATTAGGGAGCAGGGCTGGTGATGAGCCAGCACAAGAGGACAGGCTGTGATAGCACCTCGGGATGACCTAAACTGGGCGGGCGGGTGGAGTGCAGAGGACAGGGCCAGGCTGGGCTCCTCACCCACAGGGAGGAGGCCACTGAGAGAGCAGCCGTGGGAGAGGTGCAAGGCCAGGCCTGTTGGGATTTCTCCTTTTCCTGCCCCCGGTCACCTCCTGCCAAAGCCGTGAATGACCTGCTCTGGGTGAGACCTGGAGCTGGGACAGGACACACAGCCAGGCCTTGAGTAGTCTTTCCCGGAGGAAAATGGAAATCTTATCTCTGGGTGCCGTGCCCTGTGCCAGGGTTTCAGAGACCCCAGGTGAAATGCAGAGGGGCTGGGGTCCCAGGAGGCAGGCCACCCTGGTGCTGTACCACCCCTCCTCCCCTCACTGCATTTTCTCAGGGTGGGGCTCAAAGTGAGCCTCAGGTCCTGAGAGGGAGGTGTGGGGATGGTAGGGGTACAGGTGGGGCCCTGGGTCACCGTGGAAGAGAGACAGGCAGGGACTGTGTGCTGGGGACTAGCCCTGAGCCTGTTTATTCATCTGCAAAATGGGGATAATGTGTGCAACAGGTCTATGCCACTGTCAGACATGTTTCTACTCTTGTTAAGGGGCCCAGACGCAGGTACTAGCAGTAACAGGAGCTGCTCTTGAAGGGTAGAAGCCAAGCACCTGAGGCAGGCAGCACAGGCCGGGGCACAGCATGAGCAGAAGCCCAGAGGTCCAGCATGAGGCCTGGGATAACTGGAGACAATTTGGCAGAGAGGAGAGCCCCAAGCTGCTCAGCGTCTCCCTCTCTCTTTCCCTCTGCAAACACCCTCTACCCTCACCCCCACCCCCAAAAGTTGCTGATGGCTTCTGCATGCACTTCCCTTCAACCACCATGAGCTGGCCTTCGCACACATCACCCACTGGAAACACCCTTGCCAAGGTTCTCAATGCCAGCTGTTGCCAGCCCGATGGTAGTCCTTGGATCTCATCTTCCCTCCTCAGCAACCTAGATGGGCTCCTTCTCTTTGAAACGCCGCTGCTGTACTTCCCTCCACAGTGGGCGCTTCTCTCTGTCTCCTTTGCTGGCCCCATCCCCTGGATGTTGCTGTGGCTTTGCATCTACACATTCTCACTTAGAGACTCATCTGTTCTCAAGGCTTACCCACCGCCTCTGGGTGGGATGTCCAAGTTCCTATGTCTAGCCCAGTATACACCGGAGCCCTGGACCCACATGCTCACCTGCCTGCTGAACATCTTGACCTGCATGTACCCCAGGCAGCCTGAACTCAAACCGAGCCCAGGGGAACTCCGTTCATTCCCCCAATAGCTGCTGCTCCTTCTGAGCTCCTTCTGTCCAGGGTTGGCATCACCAGTGCAGTTGCCCAAGTCATATCCTGAGAACCATCCCTCATGTCTCCCTCGCTAACACCTGGATGTCCTCTCCTTTCAAGATCTCAGTGCCTTTCTCGCTCTCTCCTTCGCTGCTGCAGAATAGGCCTTCATCTTAGCTTCTGGGTTTCCTTCCACAGACTGCCCCTTTGCACCCTTACCCAAATGCCAGAGAGGGCTCTGCAAAATGCAAATCAGGCCAGGCCACCCCAGGTCAGAAGTCTTCAATGCCTCCCCGGGGAGCAGATTTACTTTCCTTCACCCTATTCCTCCTGATCCTTCTAGTCCTTAGGACTCAGCTTCAGAGTCACCTCCTCCAGGAAGCCTTCCTGCCGCCCCCAGGATGCGTTAGGCCTCTTCCTCTGTGATACCACGGCAGTTGTGCACAGCAGCTCTCTTCCTACATCACACTGATGCCTTTCCTTCTCTCTCCCCACCGAGACCACCACCGAGCCTTTGAAGTCCGCAATTGCCCTTGTGGTTGCTTTCTAAGGTGCTCAGGAAGATTTGCTGAAATCAAAGCATCTGGGGAGGGTTTTGGAAACAGACCCCGAGGTGCCTTTAGGGAAATGGGTGAGTCTATGTGCAGACGCCGACCTTCTTTCACAATAGACTTTCTTCTCTTTTCCCTAAGAGAGCCCCCGTTCTGTTCAGGAGGCAGCAATAGTGTTAACTATGCTCCTCAGCCTCCTTCGCAGAGGGCAGCCAGGGGACCACTGGCCCTGGGTCTCATGCTCCAGCCAGACTGAAACCACGGAGCAGATTTACCTTCCTTCACCCTATTCCTCCCGATCCTTCTAGTCCTTAGGGCTCAGCTTGAGAGTCACCTCCTCCAGGGAGGCTTCCTGCTGCCCAGTTTGGGCCAAGAAGATGTACTGAACAGCAGATAAGCATGCCTGGGAGAGAGTGGCTTCCCTGATGTGAGCACAGCCCGCTCCTAGTTCTGTCTTTCACTTCCTCCGTGGAGTTAGGCGAGGAGGCAGGAGGTGGGGCAGCCATCTTGTGACGATGAGCCAGCCGTGAGGATGAGCCGCACATTAAGGAATCCTGAAGGGGCCCCAGTCATGACCCCTAGACTAGCTAGTAGGAGGCTTCTTGTTATGAGAGACAAAGAAATCTCACTGAAGCTACGTTGGTTAGGTTCCCATTACACTGAGCTGAACTCCACCTGGTAAAATAAAGGCTGATGAAGGCAGAATAACCATCTGTGAGCACTTCTGGCCTTTCCTTTGAAGACGATGCTGGTCCTGGCCGCGGGAGAAGGGCAAGGTTAATGGAGCAGGACGAGCTGAGGGCTGGAGACGCTGCCCCTGCCTGGGATTTGATCACAGGGCCCTGGCAAGGCTTCGGGGCATGAGGAAGAGGCTCCAGCCATGGCAACCTGTGACCTTGGCCTTCTCTGTTCTCCGCTTGGTTTCACTTGTGAAATGAGGCTGCTGGAATAGATAACTTTTCAAAGGGCACAGTGCTCACGCCTGGGCGTTGGAGTCAGACAAAGCTGGGGTCAGGTTCCAGCTCCATCACTTGGTAGCTGTGTGTCTTTCAGTCACTTTTTTTTTTTTTTAAGTTGACCTCCCTAGCTTTGTCGCCTGCAAAATCCAGACTATAACACTTGGGCTAATGCTGGGGTTCTGTGGAACCACACACGGGGGTGCCCAGCAGAATGCCTGGCACAATCCACCATGGGCGCCACAGCCCAGTGCCCAGCATGCTTTGAGTGCTCCGTGGTGGCCGTCATCCTGGTGTTCCAAGTTCCCTAAGGGGGCAGCCTGGTGACCTGGGGTTTCATGCCTGCTCTGGCTCTGGGGCTGGGGCAGGGCCCTGGAAAGGCGCTCCGGAGGCCCTGTACTCTGTGGGAGGCTGGAGGGGCCAGTCTGCCGGCAGTCCAGTGGTTTTTCCTTTAGCACTGCACGCTGTTGTGTCCAGGAACCTTGGACCACAGGACACAACAGCACGGTGGACAGGAAATAGAAGCCCCAGGACACGGGCCAGCCCAGACCAGGCCCAGAACGGCATCAGGCCTTGGGTAGGAACAAGAAATCTATGAGGTCCATGCGGCCTGTGCTGTAGCCAGAGCTTCCTGGGTGTTGAGGGTGTGCTCCTGCCTTTCCTGAGAGTAGGGCGGGCTTGCAGGATGGCTCTGCAGGGGGACTCCTGGAATGGGGGAGCTGGAAAAACACCTCCAGAACTGGATTCCTTACTGCAGCTGCTTTCAATAGAACTTTCTTATTTTTCTCTGGAAAGGCCTCACCTTTCTCTTCGCTGCACTGGGAATCCTGGCAGAAAAATAACGTGGGGGGCGGGAAATAAAGCCCCAAGAAGGGGCTTTATTCCAGCCCGGAGAAGGAGGTCCATGGGGGCGTCTGTTTGCCCACCCACCCCTCCCCCATCTCCCCCGCAGTACTCCAGGCCAGCCCTGGCTGAGCTGACACTTGACAGCGTCTGCAGTTTACCTTGGCGCAGGTCCACAGAGTTCGGCCCAGACTGGGGCGGCCCCCACCTCCCCACCTTGTTACCAGCCCCCCCCCCTCCAGCGCAAAGAACAGTTTAAATATAAATCAGCCCTTGACACAAACAGAACCTCAGCGAGTCTCAGAGCCATCACCGGAACTGAGCGTCCAGGTTTTCTTTCGGCGGCGAGTGCAAACAAGCAGAGGCCGGCTCCGTAAATCTCCCCAGTGCGTCGGGAGGGGCGCGGGGCTTCCCTCGCCTCCAGACTCCCCCGCTCTCCTCCCACACCCCTGGCTCCCGGGGGGGCCCCTCCAGAACCCCTGGGTCCTTCTGCCTCCTCCTGCCCCCATAGTCCTACAGACCCCTTCTCCGGTCCCCTTCAGTACCCCTCCCCGCCCCCCACAGCGGGTTTCCATTGCACCCACCCCCGCCCCGCAGCCCCCCAAACCCCGGAGACTCCACCCTCCTGCAGCCTCCCGCCCCCTCCAGCCCCCACCTCTCTGCCCGCGGGCCCGCCACGCCGCCGGCCCCCTCCCCAGCAGGCGGTACCTTCCCCCGCGGCATTCCAGCCTCACGGGTCCAAGCCCAACTCCAGGAGCAGAGACGCATCCCGGCCGGGAACCAGGTCAAGTGCGGCGGCCGCCGCGTCACACCTGTCCGTGGGGACGGCGGGGGCGGGGGCTCGCAGCGCCAGGGACACGCGAGTTGGAGAGGGAGGAGGGAGGGCGCGTTTCATCATCGGCGGCGCCGGCGGCGGCCACTTATAAACTTCTGGGCGCGCACTCCCCGCTCAGTCCCCGCGCCGCGCGCCTCCTCCGGCCACCGCCGCCGCACCGGCCCGACGCCCGGCCCGACGCCTCGCCTGCTCCGCCCGCCTCCCGCCCCGGGCCCTGCCGCGGCCGCCCCGACCCGGCCAGAGGGGACGCCGCCCAGCGCCGCGGCTGTCGCCCGGCACCGCGCCCGCACCGTCGTCGCCCGCCACCATGGGGCTCCTGCCCAAGCCAGGCGCGCGACAGGGCAGCCGCGCCTCCTCGGACTCAGCCGGCCGCTGCTCCCGCTCCTTCTTCGGCAACATTAAGGTGAGTGGCGACCCAGGGACCGTCCGGACCCGAGCCGCGCCTCCCCTCCGGGTGCACCTTTCGCGGAGCCCAGGAGGCTCTGGATGCGCCGGGGCTCCCTGCTCCACCCTCCGTCCTGGCTCGGCGGGCGAGGGAACCCCTGGACAAGCGGACACGTGCTGGGTGTGTAGTGGCGGTGGTGGTGGGTGTGTGTGTACACACGCGCGTGTGCGTGCTCACACGCCGTCATCAGTGTAAGAAACTGGACATTGAAAGTACCTGCTTATCGGGACAACTCTATTCAGATAGTCCAGGCACCAGCCCAGGGAGTGTTCTGTTCTTTGATTGAAAAAGAACATCTCCTGGCGCTTTTTCGATCTCCTGCAGGCAGTTACTTCCTTAAGGGGGTGTGCTTGGTGGTGTCGGGGTCTGGGGCCCTGCGGGGGAAGGCGGTGGTTCCTCCAAGACGGAGGAGATGAAAGCCCACTCATCTGTGGTGGGTGGTGGAAGGGAAGTTCTCCTTCTCCAGGCTTTCCTCGTCCCCTAGAGCAGCAACGTGGAGGCTCTGCTCCCTCCCTGCCTGCATGCAATCTTCAGGACCCCTTCCCCCCCCTCCCTTCGCCCTCACCCCCGCCCCCAGGGCTCTCAATCCTGTGCACTGAGGCCAGCCTACCATGACTGGAAATGGGCCCGGGAAAGCAGTGGATTCTCACGGGCTGCTCAGTAACGGATAGACAAGTTCTGGGGAGTGGGTGAAGAGAAGATGGGGCGAGGCAGCTGCGTGGTGAGGACACTTTCTTCTCCAGGGGGTCAGGAAGCTCCCCACTCCATCACGTGTCCAGGAGGACCCAGAATGGTTGAATTCACGCTCCGGCTTTTTTGCCCATTCTGGTGGCGGTGCACCTCCTTGAGGGGGCAAAGCTGGTGAGACTGGGAGGTGGCAGAGCCCACAGCAGGGCTCCTTGGGGTCAGGGTGGGGATTGTGGTGCAGAGCAGTTGTTTTGGACAACCAGTCAGACGTGGCTAGGTGAAGCCTCCAGGGGTGCAGCTAGGGGGAATCCAGACGAGAGTGTCCCACAGAAAGGAATCTGGAGCCCTAGCCAGTTTGGCTCAGTGGGTAGAGTGTTGGTCTGCAGACTGAAGAGTCCAGGTTCGATTCTGGTCAAGAGCACATGCCCGGGTTGTGGGTTCGATGCCCAGTAGGGGTCTTGCAGGAGACAGCCAATCAGTGATTCTCTCTCATCATTGATGTTTCTCTCTCTCTCCCTTCCTCTCTGAAATCAATAAAAATATATTTCGAAAGAAAGGCATCTGGAGGTCATAGTGGATCTCACCTATTTACTTACTCGCATTGTTGGCGGTGGATCTGGATTCTCCTGCTTCTGCTTTTCCCCTACACCACAATATATAAAGGCTGAACTGACGCCTTGGCTAGATATAAATAAGACACACAGCAATTTTTATATAATTTAAGATAATCCTCACTTTTAGCCAGACCTGGAAGAGAAAGAACACTTGTGCGGTTTTGGTCTCACCATTTAAAAGAGTCTTGGAGACGTTTCAACAGAGAATGGTGGAAATGTTGATGTTTATAACTTAGGAGTTGGGAGGAAATGGTGGGGGAAATAGTTGGGTGGTCTGAAAAGAGAGGGGCTCAGGAGGGAGCCAGGGTGGGGGCAACTTCTGCTATTTTTACTAGAAGGGCAGGAAGGACGACTTGTTCCAGAACAGATTCCTGACAGCAAGGGTAACCCCAAATGAGATAGATTCATTGAGACCCTCCCGAGTCCCTAAAATAAATACACAGATGGCAGCAGCGTCTTTGAAGATCTGTACAAATAAGACAATTTATCACATGCTGATGATTGAGCCACACGTGCCTGAGGCCTGAGCCCCAGCCAATTGGCCTCCTAAAGTCTCATACCAGTTGAAAGTTTTTCTTAACTCTAAAAACCAGGTTTTCTTAATTATTGCCTCTGCTGATCCATAGTAAGTCTTAGAACAGAGTTTGGCGAGACTTCCACTTGGCTTCACGTATCAGCCTGAGACCAGGTACAGGGGGTCTGGGATTTCATTAGTTAAACTTCATTAACCCTTTTCTTCCAGGGGATGATACTGGCCATCTGGGGGCTTTGCTATGAGAGGTTGGGTGGCTGCCCTACATCCTCCTAGTGGGGTACCGCACCGACTGGACACATCTTGTGATATGTGTGGCGTGGAGAGGGGACAGGTGACACCCAACCTGAGAACCCATCCTTTTTCTAGGTTCCTTGTTGCTGGGACAGATGAACCATTTGACTTTATGACCTTCCTGCAAAACACCACATACCATATGGCTTAGGGGAAGAGGTGAAGTCAGGGAACTCGGATCCAAGTCCCAGTCTAGGCTTTTACGGACCAGGTAACACAGGAAAGCACTTCTCACCTGTCCTGGGCCTCAGAGTCCTTCCATGAAAACACTGGGTAATAGGAACAATCCCTGCCTCATGGGGCTCCCTAAGGATGGCGTGGGGTGAGGCACAGGAGAAGGGCTTCGGGAACCACGCTGGGCTCTCTGGGATCGGCATCAACGTGAGGCTGGCTCTTGCTTCAACGAACAGGACTGCACATTCAAACGCCATTTAGGATCTAGTGTTCCACTAATTATAGTTAACAGTTAAGGAAAACTGTAGTTAATAATAGTAACGTCCAAAATAATAGCAGTAGCTAACAGTGATGGAACTGTCTGAATGGACCAGGAACTATGCAAGTATTTTACCAATATGTAATCCGCATTACAACACTCTCAAGTGGACACAATGACTGCCCCCGGGAATGATGAGGAAAGCAAGGCTTAGTGAGATGGGTCCCTTGTGCACGGAGGCATAGCCAGAGAGGGGCAGTATAGAGGAACCAGGTCTGAGACTCCCGAATCAGTGCCCCTAATGACTGTCCACCCTGGCCCTCACCATCACATGGTGCTGCGCCATCCTGCACCCACACATCCCAGCCATGACCGAGGGGTGCCGAGGTGGCTGCAGCCTATCTGCTCCTAGTCCCTAGCAGGCTCCTACCCTTTCATTCTTCATAATCTCATCTAAAGAGCCAGGCAACTCTCCCTCTGGGGGTGAGTTTGTTCTACCTTCTTCTGCAGGAATTACTACAATGGCCTTTAACCTAGAGACAGTCTCTGTGTCTCTGGCTTACAAGATTCTGAAGGAGCAGAGGATCCATGCACCAGTCCTTGTCAGAGGCAGCAATTCGGCATCCAGAACTCTTAAAGCTCTAAATTAGAAACAGGTTCAGTCAATGATTATGGGGGCGGGTGGCGAGGTAGGAAGGAGCCTTTGTGGCTAACTGATCCTGGCAGCCTCACAGAGATCTGTTTCTCCTTAAAATGAAATGTCTGGGGGCAAAGGGAGGTTATCTTATAAAAGGAGTGGCCGATTGGTGATTACTGCCCAATTTCAGGCGAGTACACACCCAGGGTCCCAGGGTAGTGAAGCAATGTCAATCCAGCGAGTGGGGGTGGAGGACTGGGGAAGAGCAGTGGGAAGAAAGGGATAGACAAATCTGACCTGACTGGCCCCCGGTGACTTCTGACCTTGGGAGGAGGCCCAAAAATGAGGGAGAGGTACTAGTTCTGGCCTCTGACCATAGCCTCCTGAGGTCCCTGAGGCCCACCCCTAAGCTTAACCTCAGTTTCCAGAGGAATGTGCTCTATCCCAACAACCTGTAATTTTTACTCAGAAAAAAAAGTCTCAATAGAATGACTGGAGCCAAAAATTCCTTAAGTGACCCCCTGGGTTAAAATGTGTCCTCTCCCCCTCGGGGATGGTGTTTCTCTGACCCAGGTTAGCATTTACTCTATTTTCCTGGAATGGATCCCAGCCATGCCCCCCCCCCGCCCCCCCGGGGGGTGGGCAGGGAGAACAATGGGAGTGGGTGGGGTGGGGGTTGCAGGTCACTCAGACCTTTCCTCCTGTCATGATGCTCCAGGCATTTCTTAGCTTCCATTGTCTCTCCTGGTGATGAATTTGTGACCCACAGCTGCCACTGAACAAATGGAAAAGCAATGTGGGTCTCATCACATAGGTAGCTCATGTCCACACCCTGATCATTCTCTTTTGTCTGTGACAGTAACTACTCTTCTTACCATCTTGGGAGACCCAGATGTTGGGAGGTTGGGATGGGAGCGTGGCTTCCCCTCACCTTCTTCTGCTCTGCTTGTGCAATAGGTTGTGTCCACGCAGAGGAGGGTGCGTGGCCCCCCAGTCCGGGCAGCCCTCTTCACACCCCTGCTTGGTTTTATCCTGTCCCATGGTTTTAACCCTTATTTCATCCCCCTTCCCGCCTGTGGAGACTCTGGCCTGCAGAGAGCCCCAAAGCCCAAGAGATGGTACTGGGCTAGGTTGGCCCTCAGTCTGCTCTGCAAGTTCACTGGCATGCTCTTGGGCATTGCACGGTCCGTTTCTGTTGAGGACGGATGTGAAGAAACAGCTTGTGAATTTACACTTGTCCCTACCTCACAGGACCGGCACCGGTGGGTGTCACTACAATACATGGGAGAACGCTGGGTTCTTAGGATCAGACAAAGCTTGAATTATTTTTGAGTTTTTTTAAAAACTTATTTGGAAACAATTGTAGATTCACAGGGAAAATAGTATGGAGAGGTCTTGTGTACTTTCACCAAGTTTCTCCCAATGGTTCCATCTTACATTAACTACAGTGTAATGTAACTACAGGGAATAGACATTGCTGGGGTGTCTATGTAGAGGTCCGTGCCATTTTATCAAATATATAGATTCATGGAACCACCACCCCACCACTTCAGTACACAGAGCTGTTCGGGCACCACATAGCCACACCCGCCCCCTCTCGACTGCCATCCCTAACGCCTTGCAACCGCTAAGCCGTGTTCTCCACGGCTATAATCTTGTCATTTGGAGAATGTCATGTAAATGGAATCATAGTGTGTGACCTTTTGCGGTTGGCTTTGTTCATTCCGCACAGGCCCTTGAGAGCCATCCAGGTTGTTCCTT